AAAAAAAAAAAAAAAAAAACAAAAAAAAAAAAAAACCCAGAGCTTGGGTATCAACATTTTTCATCGATTTCTTTTTGGGTTTTCTTCGGTTGTTGTAATTTGGTCATCATTTTGATTTTTAGGAGAAGATGAAGGAGAGGCTTAAGAAGTACGAGACCGAGATGAAGATGAGGGAGCAACAGTTGCAGCAGCAGCAGCAGCAGGAAGAAGAGCGTTCGTAGATCTCGCGTGACTCGTGATCTCCTTCAATTTGTAATTTTTCTGATCCTTGAATAATACCCATTTGCTTATTATTGAATATTTTAAGCAATTTTGATGTTTGTGTTTCGGGGGCAGATTGGTGTTGTGTTCGTTCAGGCTTTTTGTCAAACAGGTGGTGTTTTGGGAAGTAGGAAGAATGAAATTATAGTTTGAACGTATTAAATTTACCATGTTGATTATTCTTGGGAATTATTTAACGCATTTATCCCTCAAGTCTTTCATATTTAGAAAAATGACTTCCAGAATATCATTGTTAGAAATTGACCCCCCAACTTAGGGGATCTTGGAAATTTCCACCTCCCCTTTCTAACGTCTTGCGCGATATTGCTCTAGAAATCTAAATGTGATGATTTAAGTGGTTTTTTTTTTAACATGCCAAACTTGAGGATGTGTAAGTCTTAAAATTCCTAGCTATTTGGGATACCATCGAACTACCGCTATAATTAACTGTCCTGTCAATTACTATGGAAAATTTTATGTTAATGTTAACCAATTTGTAGTAGCTTAAATTTTACTAGACTCGGTGCCCTAATACGTGATTGTGACCCTTGACTTGCATGTTCTAACTTTGACACGGGACGATATGGTCATTATTGGTTACCTGGTCCATCAAGAATTGTTCGTATATGACTGAGTACAAGTATTTATACCCGTGCAAAGCACGGGCGAGTATAGTTTCGTACGGCCCTTTTGTGCATGTTGCAGGAAAACCCACATCACTTGTGTTCTATTTCGTAGCCCAGATCACTTGTGTTTCATTATGAACTTGAAATCTGAAGTAGAGTTTTTCGTCGGTGCAACCACTAATACTTGGCAGGACAGCCAAAATTTGCAATGTTTTTTTTAGTGGGGCTAATCCATGTTTGTCACTGACAACATCATTCGTTAGTCACTAATTAAATTGATGAATGGAGTTGCGCTAGGTAAAGTATGTGAAATCTTTGAATTATCGAGACGACATTGGTACATGGGTCATCCTTTTTTAAAAATATTTTTTTAGCAGAGGACTAGATGCAGACATGAATGTCATATTAAGCATCAATCATGAACAGCCTTAGTCTCTACAAGCAGTAGGAGTTTTGTGCATTTGGAGAGGAAAGGATGGATTTGATGGGACGTGCTGAGACAACCAAAGTTTACGAGTTTGGGTTGATATTGATACTTGAGAATATGCATGACAAGTTGGGAACTCATGGTAACATCAATCAGTGGCCAATCAACTTTATGGGTAGAGTCCTACGACTCCAAATTATGTAGAATCCAACATCAGTCTTCAAGATTGCAGACTTTTGAACCAAGGACAATCATGATCTTTTGATGTATGTTCTTTAAAGATGCAATGTGTGCAGCCAATTCGAAATAATTTGTTGATCAGATGGTGCCATTTGTTTTAACTTTTTAGCCATGGCTACACTGCTGAGTGCTGATGCATAAATTGATTTTAATCAACTTAACCCAGTCTTTAACTGGTATACTTTTGATGCAATGGCCTGTTTCATTTTTATTTTGTGGATTAATTACATTCTGGTACCCTGAGTTATGATGTTATTACATTGAGTTATGATGTCATTACAGGAGTGACCCTAGAGTTTGCGAATCTACACGAGTAACCCTAAGATTACTAATTGTAATATCTGGTTGACCCTCGAGCCTAGACAACGAGCAACTCCCAGGTGTCACCCGTCTAATTACAATAAGAACCTCAGGTTACCCATGCAGATACACAGACTCTAGGGCCACTTGTGTAATTACACCATACCTTGAGGTACCGCATTGTAATTAGTTCTATTTTATTTTACTTTTCTTTCCTTGCAGACTGGCTATGTGATCATGGCTACTGGCTTTCCTACGACTAGCAGAGTTGTAGTTTTTTAGTTTTTCAAATAAATATGGACTACAAGATCCTTGGCCACGCTCGTTTTTTCTTTTTTTGGTTCTCACTTGCGTATGTTTCTCATTGTCTCTGACATTCCGTTGGACAATTTGCTTCTAAATTGCTTCTTGTTGTTTGTTTTTTTTCTTGGTTTGTACAACCCATAATGATTTTCTCAAAGCTTTGGGATCTCTAATTTGAAGGGTTATTAAGAACTAAAATTTTCTTGTTTGGTGTATAGCTCTGTAGCATAAACTAGATAATATTGGGATTAATTGACAAGTTTAGGGATCCCAATAAGAGTAGGATGATATACACTATTAATAGAGGAATTGTAGTTCTCAAATTAACCTTTTAACCAACCGTGAAGGGTATGAATCACTCTTTTCTATAGCGTGTTATAGTAGAATCCTTACTCGAGGATATGAGTCTTTTGTTTTTGTACATGACATTTTTGTTTGTAAGGCATATAATTTACTTGTTAGGATGCACGTGCATTGAACGTGGTCAAATATTTTGATTGTTTATGTAGAGTTTATGTTTTTATTATAATAACCTATCTATCCTCCCTATAAAAATTGGAATTTATATGGGCAAATTTCACTAAACCCCTAATGTGTGCGGGGTCAAAATTGTCTATCTTAACCACTTCCGTATAAGCACATCTAGTTAAGGTAGATAACTTTGTCTTGTACATCGATTCCGTCAAATTCACCCTACAGGAGAGGGTTTTATTTTTATGTGAATTCATAGTTTCCAACGGACTCAAGATTCTACTGTTAATTACCCTTACTGATGAAAGAAACATTTGATTAAGAGTCAATAAAATTCATCAAAACAAGAGAGAACTCGCAAAGCAAGAAAATACAATAATCTTATTTTTTTAATGATTATATACATGGTTTAACCGGGGGCATACACCTAGTGTACATATTTTCATGTAAAATCCTAGACTAGAGATGTGGCGATGAAAGTTTGGATTTGAGTTTGACTTGGAGAGGTGAAATAGAATTTGGATTTTGAACCCAATTTAGCGACGTAGAGGTCAAATTTGGAGTTTTGTTCCAGTTTAATGACATAGTGGTCAAATTTGATTTTAGATCCTGCTTAACGACGTAGAGGTCAAATTTAGAATTTGCTTCAGTTTAAGGACGTAAAGGTCAAGCTTGATATTTGCTCCGGTTTAATGACATAGAGGTCTCTTTAGGTATTTTCCAATTTAGGGACGTGGAGGTCGAATTTGGTGTTTTTCTAATTTAACGACTTAGGTGTCAATTTGGAATTTTGTCCAGCTTATCAACATAGAGGTCGAATTTAGAATTTTGACCAGTTTAACGACGTGGAGGTCATGTTTGGAATTTCGTCCAGTTTAACGACATAGAGGCCGAATTTAGAATTTTGGCTAGTTCAAAGAGTAGAGGTCGAATTCGAAATTTGGTCCAGTTTAATGACGTGGAAGTCAAATTTGATTTTAATCTAGTTTAGTGACATAAAGGTCAAATTTAATTTTAGATCTAGTTTATTGACATAAAGGTCAATTTTGATTAGGTTGTTCAGATTGTGTATTTTTACACAAGGTTATTTTTTAGTGCTTTTCTTTTCACACAAAATATTCTTTCATCCAGTTTAGAGGCGTAGAGATCCATGCCAAGTTTGATAACTTTCATAATTTCATGAATTTGATTATGTATTTTCAACATTTTCTGGGATCAATCCGTAGTTCATGGAATTCTATGAAAGAACGCGCAAACTCAGCAACTTTTAAAATTTTTCAAGGGGACCAAACTGCAAATTGGGCTGAACGATAATTTTTGTATTTTTCAGGAGGCCAAGATTGAAACTTTCTGGACTGAAACTGTAATTCATGTACTTTTCATGGTTCGAGCTATAATTTTCTGGACTGTTTTGCAAAATTAGGTTGAAAATGCAATTTTTACAGTTTCACCAGTATGTAAACTATAAATTCTTGACTATTTTGTAGTTTCTGGATTTTTTGGGACTGAACTGTAACTTTTGTAATATTATCAGGGAGTAAACTGTGAATTTTGGATTAAATTATAGAATCCGGGCTGAAATGCAATTTCTGCAACTTCTTTGGCGATAAATTGCAAATTCTGGACCAAATTCAAAAATTGGGCTGAAATGCAAATTTTCTGACAGCTTTTTAGGGAGCAAACTGCAATTCTAGTTCCTTTCTATGATTTCCGGACAACTAAAGGGCTATCTGCAATTTCTTCATTCTTGAGTCCAATTTGAAATTTCATGATCTTTTAGATTCTTCTGAAAGCCACTTTGAGGCTTCTTGTGTTTCTTCAGATATGGAACTCTTTTGAAGGCTCAGGTTAATTTTGCTTTAGATTTAACTCTTCGTCTTCAGCTCGCTTATGCCTGTGATGGGTTTTTCTTAATCATTGTAACTTTTTTATAATATGATGCTTAATAATTTGATTTGGGGAGCATGAAAGTTTGCGTTCTCACAGATGATATTTAGCCATCGTTCATGGCATTGGATTGAGCATGATTACTCCGTTGAGTATAGTGACTCAGGGTTGAGCATGGTGCCTCGGGTGAGTACGGTGACTCGGGTGAGTACGGTGACTCGAGGTCGAGCACGGTGGTTTAGGTAAGGATGGTGCCTCGAGGGTTGTGCATGGCTGGGGTGAGGACGGTGCCTCGAGGGTTGAGCATGATGGCTCGCGTGAGGACAGTGCCTCGGTATTATTAGCAATTTTTGATCAACAAATGTCGGATGAATATGTAGATTGTTATTTGGCTTGAAAGATGGCTGATGATGTATTTCGTTTGGCTTGAGTGGTGAACTTGAAAGTGGCCGTGACTGAAATAGGTATGAACTTTATTGGGATGGATTATATGTGGCTAGGCTTATTTTTTTGTTTGGTTGAGGGATGAAGGAAAACAAAACACCTGGTCTTTTCTTTGTTTTGATGCTACTGCCGAGGGAGAAATTGATGGATCGGCGGGCCTTTTGTTTTGTTTGGGAATTTGACGCAACGCGGAAGTGATAGCTTCGGAATCTACCAAGGGCATTCTCTGAATCCATAAAGAACAATATTTGAATAGATGAAGAACTTCGAATTCACGAAGAAAATATCGAAAAGAGAAATTTTTATTGATCAAAAGTTATTATCCTTTGGGGTTACATGACTCTTCTTAAATAGAAAAACAAATAAGATTCCTAATAAGACTTGAATTACAAAGAAATAGAAAGTATTAAATTCTATCCTAAAAAGACTCCTTATAATAGAGAAAACAAATCATGAATCAAAATTGAATTTTTTTCTAATCTAATTTGACTCTAATATATTTCCTAATCTAAATAGACTCCAACTTTAGTACTAAAAGTAAACTAAAAGTTGATTATTTTTGGATTTTAGTCAAAACTAGATATTACTGATGAGATTTTAAAAATCTGACAATCTAGTTGGCTTCGTCTCGTCAAGATAGGCGATTTACATATATAATATGTTAGAATTCGCCTTATGGATTGCAAGATATGATTGTTTCTTTGTGGAAGTCAATAATATGTATAAATCTATATTTAGCTCGTGATTGTCTGCATCCTTCATGAAATCGTCAGTTAAGCGTCCTACATCAGTCTCCCCTTATTGAAAGAAGCTCAACCCCAAGCTTATATTTGGTAGAATAGTAGCTTCATTGATAAATAATTTTCTTCTCTTACAACGATCAGCGTCTGCCTTGTACTTAGCATTGATTTTCTCCATATGTTATTTTGCCTCTTCGGCTAGGACTTCTTCTGAATCAAAATTTTGAATAAATCTTTCACACACCATGTTTACGTGTTCGATAGCATGTGGATTGCAATTGACTTAAAAAACTCCTCAAAATATGTTCTATGCTGCCTCTCATATTCTAGTGCCTGAAGTATCATCAAATTCTTCTTAAAATTATTCACAACCTTTACTTCCAGGGAAGAAAACCCCGCCTCATACTCTATACACAATTCTTGCATCTCCTTTGTCTTTAGCCCTCCACCAAGCAATTCACACATATTATCAATTACCTCACTCTCTATTTTATTTTTCTCCTCCATCGCGACAACGTCAATAAGTGTAACATCGCTCACGATATCATGTATAATATTCGTCTTCATGAACATATTACCATTAGCATCATGAATCTCATGCGCAATGAGTAGTTGCACCTTAGGAGGAATTTCGGTAAGGGTAGGTTCTTCTTTTTCAGTTACAACCAAGTCATATACATCTTCAGATTGCTTCAAGGTTTTTCCTAAAGCCTCGTTGTTTGTCACCAACAGTATTTTCTTCTCAGTAGTCTTTATCTTAGATGACTTCTTTTCTGTAAGAGGCAGAAGTACAATTCGACGTTCATCTTTGTTGAAGATATAAACATTGTCTCTGCTCCTATGGGCAGCTCCAATATTGAATTGCCATGACCTACCTAAAAGCATATGACAAGTATCCATCTCGACCACATTACACAAAATCTCATCAACATAATTGCGACCGATAGAAAAAGGTACCCGACACAACTCATCGTTCTACACATCATTGCCCTTG